AGCGGCGCGCTGCCGCCCCTCGACGCAGGGAACGCAGGTAGGGGCAGGCCCCGGGGGAAGGGGAGGGAGGGACCGGGGGAGACCAGAGACAAGGACACGGGAGGCCATACCACGGAGACGAGGTAAGTCGGTGGTGCCAGAGGAGGGTCTGGTGGGACAGGAGGCGACACGAGCAGGGGGCAGACTCAGGACCTGACCGAGACGCCGCAGCAAACACCTGACTCAACGCAGCTACCTGACCAGACGCAGCAACCGGAGGAGACTCTGTGGTCAGTGTGTACAGGCTCGACCCCGGTCGACGGGTAAACGTGGCCAAGTGGCGGACCGTCTGAGCACACGAGCAGTGGGTCACTCGCTGCCGTGCAGGAGTGAACTGGTCAACTCCGGCATCCTGAAGGTCAGCACCACTCACCAAGTTCGTGGAGAACGAGGGGAGGTAGAGACCAGACAGGGAGCCTGACGGGGCCGCCGGACACGGGAGGACAGTGGAGTAGCGAGCAAGGACAGGACCCCCAGAGGGGTCTGCCAGGGAGACCGCAACCGGCCGACTGAGCGGCGTAAGGGTGGTGCGGTCTCGAAAGAAGGAGCGGGAAGCACCCGAGTCGAGGGTGAAGGTGTGAAAGACCTGAGCCGACGTGGTACCTGAGAGAGCAGACTCACCAGCACCTAGAGGAGCAGACTCACGAGTACCTGGAGCAGCAGACTCACTAGCACCTAGAGCAGCAGCCTCAATACCAGGGTCAGGCGGAACACACACGTAACAGTCACCCTCAGCACTAATAGACACAGCATACATAGCAGCAAGAAAAGCATCAAAGTCAAGATCAAAGATAGCTACCCCCGACCTGTGCGGGTCATGCCAACGAGGGATCTCAGTGGCGTCCGGGAACTGGGCACACCAGGCGTCCGTCAGGCGACCGAAGCAGCGCTGGGTGGCGTGCAGGCCGCCACACTGCTCTCCAGTGCGGTCGCCGGTGCGCAGGACGTAAGTACAGGGACCAGCACCTCCAGACCCCTGACGCCCCGCGTACCACTCACGAAGCTGCTGGGGCGAAGGGGTCCCACGAGAGCGCTGCTGCTGCTGGGGTCCCCGCTGCTCAGCTCCGCCTCTGCCGGCTCCACCTCCGCCGCCGCCGCCTCCGCCTCCTCCACCCCTCCCACCACCGCCACCGCTGCCTCCACCTCCACCGCCGCCACCGAAGCCCCCACCTCTGCCACCACCACCACCCCCACCCCCTCCTCCGCCGCCTCCGCCACTACTGCCGCCCCCACTACCTCCTCCAGCTCCCCTGCCCCGCTTGCCCTTGCTGATGCGGCGCCTCTCACTAGGAGCAGACGCAGCGCTGACCGACTCGGTGCCAACAAGGTCGACAGCAGCAGCAGAGGCAACAGAGGGCAAAAGAGGAACGGGGGAGCACCCCTCAAGGAAAGGGGTACGGGGGTCACCACGAGAGGCGCCTACAGCGGTAATACTAGTCTCTGCTGCAAGGAGGCGCTCCTCAAGGAGGTCGACAGTGAGGGTGGTAGGGCAGAGAGAGAGGAAGTGGTCCCTGACCGAGCGGAGAATGTCAGGGAGTCGAGTGACTAGGTAGTAGAGGGTGATGTACATGGGGGGGGGGTTCTGAGCGCAGAACTCAGCAGGGAGCGCAGCGCGGTAGCGAGTGTCACTAGTGCGGAGGTGCGTAATGAGGTCAGTGACTGTGGCAAAGGCAGCGAGGTCAGGGAAAAGGTACGGTAGCATGAGGCGGCTAAGCGCAGCAGTGGCAGGAGAAGAGTAGCGTGCAACTACAGCGTCGTACAGAGTCCTAGCACTCTTGTACTGACTAAAGTGCGCGCGCTCAGTAGCCGGTAGGTGACTGCGCACAGCAAGGCGGGCAGCAGCATCGCGCGTGAGCCACTGCGAGCGAACGGTACTGTCAGCATCAGCAGCAGGGGCAGTAGAGGCGCCCGACGTAAGGTCAAACAGGGAGAGGCCATCTCTGCTATCGCACTGAAGGAAAAGCTGCAAGTCATCAAGCCAGACATCAAATGCAACCGCTCGACCCTCAGCATCAAAGGTGAGAAGGGTAGGACTAGCCATGGTAGGAGCAGCAGGAGACTAGCAGCGGCAGCAGTGCAACTGAGCTAGGCAGGACAGCGCGACTCGGCAGGGCGACTCGACAGCGCAGTGCGGCTCGGCCGCGCGGCTCGGCCCGGCTAGGTCTCACCAGGGGCAGAGCCGAGAGTTTGGGGCTGGGTCGGGGCCGGAACAGGGCCGGGACAGGGTCGGGGCCGAGTAGGGTCCGGGACAGGGTCGGGGCCGAGCAGCAACGGGGCCGGGACAGGGTCGGGGCCGGGGCAGGTCCGAAACAAGGTCGAGGCCGAGTGGCCGCGGCAAGGGCCGCGTCAGGGACAGGGCCGGGCCGGGCCGTACAGGGACGGCGTAGGGGCCGCGTCAGGGACAGTGTAGGGGCCGCGTCAGGGGCGGCTGAGGGCCGCGTCAGGGGCGGCGTAGGGGCCGCGTAGGGGCGGCTAGGGGCGGCGTCAGGGGCGGCGTAGGGGCCGCGTCAGGGGCCGCGTAGGGGCCGCGTCAGGGGCCGCGGCAGGGGTCGCGTCAGGGGCCGCGTCAGGGGCCGCGGCAGGGGCGGCGCAGGGGCCGCGTCAGGGGCGGCGCAGGGGCCGCGTCAGGGGCGACGTAGGGGCCGCGGCAGGGGCGACGTAGGGGCCGCGTCAGGGGCCGCGGCAGGGGTCGCGTCAGGGGCCGCGTCAGGGGCCGCGGCAGGGGCGGCGCAGGGGCCGCGTCAGGGGCGGCGCAGGGGCCGCGTCAGGGGCGACGTAGGGGGCCGCGGCAGGGGCGACATAGGGGCCGCGTTAGGGGCGGCGGAGGGGCCGCGTCAGGGGCGGCGTAGGGGCCGCGTCAGGGGCGGCGTAGGGGCCGCGTCAGGGGCCGCGGCGTAGGGGCCGCGTCAGGGGCCGCGTCAGGGGCCGCGTCAGGGGCCGCGTCAGGGGCCGCAGTAGGGGTCGCGACAGGGGCCGCGTCAGGGGCCGCGTCAGAGGCCGCGGCAGGGGCCGCGTCAGAGGCAACGTAGGGGCCGGGTAGGGGCCGCGTAGGGGCCGGGTAGGGGCCGCGTAGGGGCCGGGTAGGGGCCGCGTAGGGGCCGCGTAGGGGCCGCGTAGGAGCCGCTAGGGGGCCGCGAAAAAAAAAAAATTAGGGCAGGGCGCAATGCGCTTCGGGCAGCTAAAAGAAAATTCTTATGGTGGGCCCTTAGGAAGGAACGGTCCCATGTAGGAACCCGCTCTATACCATGTGAAGAAAGAAACAGGAATGAATGGACTAGGAAAGTGTGAGATACAAATATGAAAGCTGTACCCCTTAGTGTCTACCCCACTACAGCCTACATAGGCTAAGGCATATACATCTGACACTCTCGTAAGGAGGGCCTCCTTTAGGGGGGGGGAGGGGGGGTAGTGTAAGGAAAAATCTTTTTCCTTACGCCGCATCCATGCGTAACGCGTACATTACTGTTCTCACCACACTCGGCACCGTTACCACTCGCGACCCTCGCTTCGACAATCTTCCCGCGACTTCGCACGTCGCAACCCAGCCTCCCGGCTCGGCTGGTAACCCGCGCTCCGGGCCTCCGCTTCGACACTTTCCTGACCTCAGTCCCGACCTCAGTCACAGGCCTATCGCGCGTCAACCACAGTTCGTTACCGTTACCACTGTGGCCTTTGCTATTTAGTTCTCGCTCATTCCTTCACTCATTGTACTGTTTTGCTTCTATAGTGCAATTCTCGCTCGCTCGCTCAATTGCACTCGTAACAGTATACGAGTTTACCGAATTTTGTACACACCCAACAGGGATCAACCAACCCCTGTTGGTTTGCTTCTAATTGTTGTTTGAAGTACCCTCCATAGCCCAAATCATAATTACAAAAGAGATGAATTGAATATAATAATTGACGGAGCCCGCAGTGCATAGCCCAAACTTGTTAGTTTGTGTACGATTCAATATTTTGAATGTCAGTGCACCACCTCAGATAGCCTCAGATTGGTTTTGAGGGATGTTGATAGATCAGCTTGTCAAACTTATATGCTATAGTCTGTCTAGGCTGTAGTGGGGTAGTTCATATAGGGTACAACACTTTTAGGTTTCCTACTTGTACCCACCTGCTTGCTAGTTCAGTCATTCCTTCCTTCACTATTCTAACATGGTATTCGGAGCAGGTTCCCTCGTGGGAACGTTTTTTTTTAGGGCCCACCACGATAACTTTTTTTTTTCCTCCCCTGCCCGAAGCGCGCCTCACGCCTACCTCACCTGCGCCGTCGCGCACCCTGCCCTAGTGCCGCCCGTCGCGGCCCTGCCTTCTCGGCCCGTCGCGGCCCTGCCCTAACGGCCCGTCGCAGCCCTGCCCTCAAGGCCCGTCGCGGCCCTGCCCTAACGGCCTAGTCGCGGCCCTGCCCTGCCGCCACCCGCGGCCCTGCCTTGCCGCCCGTCGCGGCCTACCCTAGCCGCCTGTCGCGGCCCTACCCTGCCGCCTCTCGTAGCGGCCCTGCCCCTTGCCGCCCGCCGCGGCCTCTGCCCTACCGCTGCTCGTCACGGCCCTGCCCTACCCTGACGTCCAGCCGCGGCCCTGCCCTGTCGCCGCCCTGTCGCGGCCCTGCGCTGCCGCCGACGCGTCGCGGCCCTGCCCTTCAGCCGCCCCAGTCGCGGCCCTGCTCTACCGCCGCCAAGTAGCGGCCCTTCCCTGCTGCCGCCCTAGTCGCGGCCCTGACCTAACCGCCAGCTGCGGCCCTGCCCTGCACCCGCCCCTGGTAAGCACCCGCACCGCCCTGCCGCGCCGCGTCGCCAGGAGCCGAGCCGCGCCGCCCAGCCGAGCCGCACCGCCCTACCGAGCCGCGCCGCCCTGCCGAGTCGCGCCGCCCTACTGAGCCGCACTGCCCTGCCCGCGCTGCTCCTACTACTACTGCTGCTTCTGCTGCCACTGCTGCTACTGCTGCTACTGCTGCTACTGCCGCTATGGCTAGCCCTAATGTTCTTACATTTGATGCTGAGGGGCGTGCGGTTGACTTTGACGTGTGGGTTGACGACCTGCAGCTCTTTCTTCAGTGTGACTCTAAGGACGGAGTATCCCTTTTCGATCACACGTCTGGTGTCTCTCCTGCACCTGCTGCCACTGCTGACAGTACGGTTCGCTCGCAGTGGACCACTCGTGACACTGTTGCTCGCCTTGCTGTTCGTAGTCACCTGCCGTCTACTGAGCGCGCGCACTTTGGCCAGTACAAGACTGCTAAGTCTTTGTATGATGCTCTCGTAGCGCGCTACTCCTCCCCTGCCACTGCTGCCCTCAGCCGCCTCGTGCTGCCGTACCTGTTCCCTGACCTTGCCGCCTTTGCCACAGTCGCTGACCTCATTACTCACCTCCGCACTAGTGACGCCCGCTACCGCACTGCGCTTCCCACTGAGTTCTGTGCCAAGAACCCCCCCCCCCCCCCCCCCATGTACATCACCCTCTACTACCTAGTCAACCGCCTCCCTGACTCCCTTGCTTCAGTCAGGGACCACTTTCTCTCCCTTTGCCCCACCAAGCTCACCGTCGACCTGCTAGAGGAGCGCCTCACTGCAGCTGAGAAGAGTATCGATGCTGTAGGTGCTTCTCGCGGCGACCCTCGCGCCCCTTTCTTTGAGGGGTGTTCCCCTGTCCCCCTTCTCCCCTCTGTTGCTTCTGCTGCTGCTGTCGACCTCGTTGGCATTGAGGAGGTCGGGGCTGCGTCTGCTCCTAGTGGGAGGCACCGCAACAGCAAGGGCAAGGGGGGCAAGGGTGGTGGAGGGGGCGGTGGGGGCGGCGGTGGAGGCGGTGGAGGAGGCGGAGGGGGTGGCGGTGGAGGTGGGGGTAGTGGCGGGAGTGGGGGCTTCGGTGGCGGCGGTGGGGGTGGTGGAGGCAGCGGCAGCGGCGGTGGAGGCAGTGGCAGCGGTGGTGGAGGTGGCGGCGGCGGTGGTGCTGGTCGAGGTGGAGCCGCGCAGCGTGGAGGCTTTGGTGGTTGCCAGCGTCAACACCAGCTGCGCTCCCGTGAGACCTCGTCGGCCCAGCAGCTTCGTGAGTGGTACGCGGGGCGTGGGAGGTCTGGGGGTGTTGGTCCCTGCACTTACGTTCTTCGCACCGGCGGGCGCCGTGGGGAGACGTGCGGGCTGCCACACACTACGCAGCGCTGCTTCGGTCGCCTGAGTCTGCTGGTGAGTCTGCTCTCTCTGGTACTGCACCTACTGAGGCCTTGCACACTTTCACACTTGACTCTGTTGCTTCGCGCTCCTTCTTTCGCGACAGCACCACACTCACGCCGCTCTGTTGGCCTGTCGCAGTCTCCCTGGCTGACCCCTCTGGGGGCCCAGTCCTTGCGCACTCTTCCACGGTTCTACCATGTCCTGCGGCCCCGTCGGGCTTGCTGTCGGGACTCCACCTCCCCTCGTTCTCTACGAACTTGGTGAGTGGAGCTGACCTTAAGGACGTGTGGGTCGACCAGTTCACCCCTGGAGGTCAGCGTGTGACCCACTGCACTTGCTCTCGGACGGGCCGCCACCTGGCCACGTTCACCCGTCGGCCTGGGTCGAGTCTGTACACACTGACTACTGCGTCTCCTCCGGTTACTGCGTCTGGTCAGGTAGCCGCGTCTGGTCAGGTGTTTGCTGCCACGTCCAGGTCTAGTCCAGCGTCTGCCCCCTTCTCGTGTCGTCCTCTGTCACACGAGACTCTCCTTTGGCACCACGGCCTTGGTCACCCCTCCCTGCCTCGTCTTCGAGGTATGGCCTCCCGTACCCTTGTCTCTGGTCTCCCCCGGTCCCTCCCTCCCCTTCCTCCGAGTCCTGCCCCTACCTGTGTTCCTTGTGTCGAGGGCCGGCAGTGCGCCGCTCCTCACTCCTCCGAGTTCCCTCCGACAGAGGCTCCCCTGCAGACTCTCCACATGGACGTGTGGGGCCCAGCCCGCGTCCGTGGACAGGGTCACGAGCGTTACTTCCTGCTGGTCGTTGACGACTACTCGCGTTACACCACAGTCTTCCCCTTGCGCTGCAAGGGTGAGTTCACTGAGGTGTTGATCGACTGGATCCGCGGTGCCCGACGCAAGAGTTTCGGCTCGGACCTTCCTGTTCTGCGTCTGCACTCAGACAGAGGTGGTGAGTTTTCCTCCGACCTTCTAAGGGCTTTCTGTCATGCGGAGGGCATCCGCCAGACGTTCACGCTTCCGGCCTTCCCACAGCAAAATGGGATTGCTGAGCGCCGCATTGGCATGGTCATGGACGTCGCTCGTACGTCCATGATCCATGCGGCTGCTCCCCATTTTCTGTGGCCGTTCGCGGTTCAGTACGCTGCGCATCATATCAACCTTCAGCCTCGTGTCTCCTTGCCGGAGACCACACCTACTCTGCAGTGGACGGGGAAGGTTGGCGATGTGTCTGTGTTCCGTGTCTGGGGATCTCGAGCTTTTGTCCGCGATACTTCCGCGGACAAGCTGTCCTCCCGTGCCGTTCCCTGCGTCTTCCTTGGCTTCCCCCCGGACGCACCTAGGTGGCAGTTTTACCACCCCACCTCGCGTCGTGTTCTGTCCTCTCAGGACGTCACGTTTGACGAGTCGGTATCTTACTACCGTCTCTTTCCCTACCGCACTGCCCCTCTCCCCCCCCCCCGCCACTCTTCCTAGCACCAGGTGCTCCTCCGGTAGACCCCCTCCCCCCTCAGGGTCCTGCCCCCTCAGATGTGTCCCAGGTAGACCCTGTCGAGCCTGTCGAGGTAGCTGTCGACTCTGGTGCTGCTAGGGGTGCTGAGCCTGCGGGTGCGGGGCCCGGGGGTGCTGAGCCTGGGGTTGCTGAGTCTGAGGGTGCGGAGCCTGGGGGTGCTGAGCCTGAGTGTGTGGAGCCTGGGGGTTCTGAGCCTGGGGGTGCTGAGCCTGGGGGTGCTGAGTCTGGGGGTGCTGAGCCTGGGGGTGCTGAGCCTGAGCGTGCTGAGTCGGGAGGTCCTCCGGGTGTCCCGTCACGGCGGGAGCCCCTCTCTCCGCAGCGGCTACGTGAGTGGTACGCTCGGCGCTGTAGCCGTGCTGCTAGAGCTACGGGGCCTGTTGCTGGAGGTGCTTCTGGAGCTGGAGCTGCTGGAGGTGCTGCTGGTGCTGGAGCTGCTGGAGCCGCTGGTCTTGGAGGTGCTGGTGCTGGAGGTACTGGCGCTGTTGGAGGTCCTGCTGGTGTTGGAGCTGTTGGAGGTGCTGGAGCAGCTGGTCCCGGAGGTGCTCGTACTGGAGGTAATGGAGCTGCTGGGGCTGGTGGTGCTGCAGGAGTTGGAGCTGTAGGTGCTGGAGCTGTTGCTACTGGAGGTGCTGCTGGAGCTGGAGCTTCTGGAGGTACTGGAGCTGGTGGTGCTGCGGGAGTTGTAGCTAGAGACCCTGGAGCTGAGGGTACTGGTGCTGTCTCTGCTGTTTCTGGAGGCGCTGCGCGGCCGCGGCCGTACTACGTTCCGCTCCTTCGGCAGGTTCTTTGTCTCCCGCCTTCTACTGGTCCTACTCCTCCCTTACTGAGTCCACCGCCTGTCCACTCACAGTCGCAGTTACAGCCAGCCTCTCCACTGCCTGGTCCTTCTCCTTACTCTGGACCGACTAGAGGTCTTATGAAGCGTCGTGAGCCTGAGTCTCGTCCTGCGTCGCCTGAGTCTCGTCCTGCGTCACCTGAGTCTCGTCCTGAGTCGCCTGTTCGCGCTGTTCGCACTGGTCGACGTGTTCCGCGTCAGCGTCCTCCTCCTGTCCCCGGCACTCACTCTATGACTCTGCGTCCTTCCACTGCTCCACAGCGTGTCCCTCTGCCGTCTCCTCCTGCGTCCTCTCTTCCTGACGGTCCGGACCCGGAGTCTGACTCCCTTCGTGCTGCTGGTCCTACTGTCACGCGTTTTCTGGCCACTGTTGTCACTGACCCTTGGTTTGAGTCCACTGCTACGTCTGCTCTAGTTGCTGAGCTTGTTGACTTTGCTGCGGCCTGTCGTCTAGACTACGCCGCTAGTCTTGTTTCTGAGTCTGAGTCTGCGTCTGTCTGTCCTCCGTCCATCGGGGGTGAGTGTGCTCTTGGCACGGACGTCCTTGAGGACAGACAGGAGGAGTTTGAGTGCTTTGCCGCTGCTTTACCTCATCTCGTGTCCATGCTGCTTGCCCCTGAGGGAGACCCGGATGCACCAGACATCCCAACCCCGCGCTCTACGCAGAGGCGATAGAGGGCCCCTACTCCTCTCAGTGGCAGATTGACACCAGCCGCAGATTGACACCAACCGCAGATTGACACCAACCGCAGATTGACACCAACCGCAGATTGACACCAACCGCAGATTGACACCAACCCAGAATACCATCTCACAGGAAGGGCATGTGAGACACTCACAGGAATAAACATGAGGGACTCACAGGAAGGGGACGTGAGGAACTCACAAGAAGGGGCTTGAGGTACTCACAGGAAGGGGCGCGATGGCCTCGGTTGACAGAGACAGGAGCTGTAGGAGCGCTGGGAAAGATCCACTTGACCTGCCACAAGGCAATGGCGGGAGGAGATGAGGCGAGGTGAGGCAAGGTGAGGTGGGTTACAGATGGGTCTGAGGCACTTAAAAAGTCGGCTCTAGGGGCGCTGGGAAAGATACACTTGACCTCCGCCACGTTCAGCCACAGATGCCCACACCATATTCAGCCAGTTCGAAATGTTTTTTTGAGATAAAAAAAAAAAAACAGATTCAGCCATGTTCATCAACAGAATGCCACACCATGTTCGGCCACTGCGAGATGCCATTGCCACTGTCCCCCAGCCCGTGCGGCCAATGCAGGCACCCATAACCGGTGCCAACTCAACAATCAATTGCTCAACGTACGTGCGGGAGGTCGAGTAAAAGGCCGCCGCCACCGCCCACAGAATCCCACACCATATTCAGCCAGTTCGAGATGCCATTGCCGCTATCCCCTAACCCGTGCAGCCACACCACCGTGGCCGTGTGCTGCCCTTCCTGCGCTTCCACCACCCTGGTCGGGCCCGCTCGTGTGCCTGGGGGCGAGAAGACGGGAAGGCGGGAAGGCGGAGAGGTGGGGCCAGAGAGGGAGAGTCATTTCGAGATGCCATTGCCGCTGTCCCCCAGCCCGTGCAGCCACACCACCGTGGCCGTGTGCCGCCCTTCCTGCGCTTCCACCACTTTGGTCGGGCCCGCTCGTGTGCCTGGGGGCGAGAAGACGGGAAGGCGGGAAGGCGGAGAGGTGGGGCCGGAGAGGGAGAGTCATTTCGAGATGCCATTGCCGCTGTCCCCCAGCCCGTGCAGCCACACCACCGTGGCCGTGTGCCGCCCTTCCTGCGCTTCCACCACTTTGGTCGGGCCCGCTCGTGTGCCTGGGGGTACGTGGGTGACGGGAAGGAGGGAAGCCGGGGAGGTGGGGTTAGAGAGTCACAGTCATTCTGAAAAGCTCGTGAGCCTGGGGGGACATGGGTGGGGGAGCGCGAGCGTAAGGGGCGTTTGGGTCGACTCAAACGTCCTGCATCCACACCAGCCACACCACCGTGGCAGTGTGCTGCCCTTTCTGAGATTCTACCACTTTAGTTTTGCCCGCTCGTGAGCCTGGCACAGTAAGACAGCATGACAGCATGGCGGCATGACAGTATGACAGTATGACATCATGACAGCATGGCAACATGACAGTTTGACAGCATGAAAGCATGGCGGCATGATAGAATCACAGCATTTATCGAGGGGACCAAAAAAAAATTCAGCGTATCAGACGAAAGGTGGGAGCGCGGACAGAGGTAGAGCGAGGGAGGAGAGAACGCAGAGCAGAGCTTGCTGGTGATTGGTGGTGGGTGGCTATTGGTGGACGATCCTTACTGTATGGCGCTTGATCCGTTGCTGCTGCAACAGCAGCTGCAGCTGCTGCTTCTGCTCCTGCTCCAGCACCTGCTAAGTTTGCTGCTGCTTCTGCTTCTGCTGCTGCTGGTGCTGGTTCTGCCGTCCCCACAGGAGCTCGCCCCTCTGCGGGAGCTGGACTGGAAGGCACGTCTCCACGGCCGTTGCGAATGCCGAACATTCTCCGGAAAAATCGTTTCATTTTCTTTGGAAGAGTGTTTTCGGACGGACTATGTCTCAATAAGAAAGGACACGCAAGGCGGCAATTAATAAATACGAGAATGAGGAAAATTAGGGAGAGAATTATGGAGTGTTTCGGCAAACCACGGAAGGATTTAAACCACCGTCGAGGTTTGGACCCAAGCCGGAATTGAGTAAGAAGAGGCGTGTGAATTGCTGTGAACGAAGGAGGAAATGGCAGCTAAGAGTATGATCCACGGGAACAGATAGAAGCGATAAGGAGTCTGTAGACTGAAGGAGCTTGGGGATAAGGAGTCTGGGATATTAGGGAGACTAAATCAATTTCATGGACCAGCTCGGACCAGGTTCCAGAACTCAGCAAGCAACTCTTCTGATTGGTCTCGAATGTGTGCAATTTTTCACATCCACATTTATACATTGTGATTGGTTGCGACCAATCCCAAACGCTCATGTCACACGCAAGCAATAACGAGTGGTTTGAAACGCCGAGAAGGGATTGACCAGTGTGGTTGGGTCGAGGCCTGTTTCTCGCGGAAACAATTTCGCAGCCACGGAAATGGAGCATTTGCGTGAAACGAGAAGCGCTGGTGTCGGGTAACTTTGGCGGACAAAGGGTTTCGCGTGAGTGAAGGCGAAGTCTTATCAGCCAATCGTATCGTGGGAGGAATGCCTTCTGAAAGTCGCACGCGGTCGACCATGCAACGTTGTTCAGACAAATGTCGGCAGCAGTGGGCTCCCAATCTTCACTAACGGTTGACCTCGGTAAATTGTTATCCATCTAATACAACGTGTCCTAAAAACAAATGGGGAAATGAAGGGGAAAATAGGTAGAGTGTAAGGAAAATTCTTTTTCCTTACTTCGCGTCCCTGCTCAGCGCGTACACCACTGTTCCCGCCAACAGCACCCCACAATATTCCGTTACCACTCGCGGCATTCGCCTCGACCCCATTCCCGCCACTGTTCACGATGCGACCCAACCTCACTGTTCGATTGGTAACCCGCGCTCCGGACCTCCGCCTCGACAGTCCCCCAACCTCAGCACCAGGCCCGTCGCGCACCCCATTTTTCACACGTTACCGTTACCACTGTAGCTTCGCTATATATTCTTCGCTCTATCCTTCGCTCATTGTATTCTTGCCTCGATAGTGCAATCCTCGTTCGCTCACTCAATTGCACACGTAACATAGAGCTTTACATGCTTCTAAGTAATCCGCAGAAATAGATAGATGCTAGCAAACTATATATTTCGCATGTATTACAAGGGCCACAAAACTGCGATTGGCTTGGGGGCACCTTGACATGCATTGTTGCAGGTGGGGAATTAAGAGGGTGGTGGCACGTTCTTTTGCAGCCAGGCTTTGAGATCTGCCAGCTCTTCGGGACAAGCAGAGTGGGCCATGCTGTGATGGAGGGAGGTGTGGGTGGGGCAGAAAGAGGATTGGACATGATTACAAAATATGTGCTAGTATGGACAATATGTGACACCTCAAGTGACAATTAATGTAACAGTATGGAGATACAAGTTGGAATAAAACAAGATGCGGACTAAGCGACCAGAAGGAACTCTGCGGATGGCGAATCATGTGAAACATGTAGAAATCATGCAGAACAAGCCGCAACAAGGCAATACAAGTAAAAATGCACCCGATTTCAAGGGACCCCCCTCCCAAAACAAGCAATCACCCACCCGCGGTATGACTTGAAAGTGAGGTTGGAGAACCCTGCTTCCTGCAGCACCTGAGCCGATCCCTTGCCAAAGGCGAATGGCACCAGGCTGTCAGCTGCATGGGGAGGGCACGAGCACGCATGGCGGATGAGAGCAGAGAGATATTTCACGAGTCATTCACAGATGCGCATGCACCTTCCTGCGGCACCTGAGCTGACCCCTTGCCAAAGGCAAAGGCCACCAGGCTGTCTGCTGCACAGGGAGGGCACGAGCACACATGGGGGATGATCGACGAGAGATATTTTACAAATTACTCATTGATCCACATGCCTTATCCTGCAGCACCTGAGCCGAACTTTTGCCCAAGGGCGGACTGCACCAAGCCGTCTGCTCTGCTGCACAGAAACAGATTCTCGCCTTGGCATGCACATGAGCACACACGAACGACAAGAGGGGAAAGGCATCGACAGGTTGTGCATCGAAGCACCTTACTGAAGCATCTGAACCAAGCCCCTGTGAAAGGCGAAGAGGACCAACCAGACTGTTTGTTGCAACGATTGTAGCTGAGCCATTGCCACCCCCACACCCCCCCCTCACCCTCATTTCCCTCCAACCCCTCTTCAATTCCCACCTTTCTTCCACCTCCCTGCCTTCTATTACGACTTCATTTCCTGTCTCGCCGACCCCCCCCCATTCCCCTTCTTCCCCATCTTCCCCCAACCCATTCCATCCCCCTTTTTCACCATCTCCCCTCAGCCCCTCCCGTCCCTCCCTCTTCCCATGTGCCTTCACCCCACCGGCCTACCTTCCCCATGCGCCATCACTCCACCGGCCTACCTTCCCCATGCGCCATCACTCCACCAGCCTACCTTCCCCATGCGCCATCACTCCACCAGCCTACCTTCCCCATGCGCCATCACCCCACCAGCCTACCTTCCCCATGCGCCTTCACCCCACCAGCCTACCTTCCCCATGCGCCATCACCCCACCAGCCTACCTTCCCCATGCGCCATCACCCCCCAGCCTACCTTCCCCATGCGCCATCACCCCACCAGCCTACCTTCCCCATGCGCCATCACCCCCCAGCCTACCTTCCCCATGCGCCATCACCCCACCAGCCTACCTTCCCCATGCGCCTTCACCCCACCAGCCTACCTTCCCCATGCGCCATCACCCCACCAGCCTACCTTCCCCATGCGCCATCACCCCCCAGCCTACCTTCCCCATGCGCAATCACCCCACCAGCCTACCTTCCCCATGCGCCATCACCCCACCAGCCTACCTTCCCCATGCGCCATCACCCCACCAGCCTACCTTCCCCATGCGCCATCACCCCCCAGCCTACCTTCCCCATGCGCCATCACCCCACCAGCCTACCTTCCCCATGCGCCATCACCCCACCAGCCTACCTTCCCCATGCGCCCTCACCCCACCAGCCTACCTTCCCCATGCGCCTTCACCCCACCAGCCTACCTTCCCCATGCGCCATCACCCCACCAGCCTACCTTCCCCATGCGCCATCACCCCCCAGCCTACCTTCCCCATGCGCCTTCACCCCACCAGCCTACCTTCCCCATGCGCCATCACCCCCCAGCCTACCTTCCCCATGCGCCATCACCCCACCAGCCTACCTTCCCCATGCGCCATCACCCCCCAGCCTACCTTCCCCATGCGCCTTCACCCCACCAGCCTACCTTCCCCATGCGCCATCACCCCCCAGCCTACCTTCCCCATGCGCAATCACCCCACCAGCCTACCTTCCCCATGCGCCATCACCCCGCCAGCCTGCCTTCCCCATGCGCCTTCACCCCACCAGCCTACCTTCCCCATGCGCCATCACCCCCCAGCCTACCTTCCCCATGCGCCATCACCCCACCAGCCTACCTTCCCCATGCGCCTTCACTCCACCAGCCTACCTTCCCCATGCGCCATCACCCCACCAGCCTACCTTCCCCATGCGCCATCACCCCCCAGCCTACCTTCCCCATACGCAATCACCCCACCAGCCTACCTTCCCCATGCGCCATCACCCCACCAGCCTACCTTCCCCATGCGCCATCACCCCACCAGCCTACCTTCCCCATGCGCCATCACCCCACCAGCCTACCTTCCCCATGCGCCTTCACCCCACCAGCCTACCTTCCCCATGCGCATTCACCCCACCAGCCTACCTTCCCCATGCGCCTTCACCCCAGCAGCCTACCTTCCCCATGCGCAATCACCCCACCAGCCTACCTTCCCCATGCGCCTTCACCCCACCAGCCTACCTTCCCCATGCGCCATCACCCCACCAGCCTACCTTCCCAATGCGCCTTCACCCCACCAGCCTACCTTTCCCATGCGCCATCACCCCACGAGCCTACCTTCCCCATGCGCCTTCACCCCACCAGCCTACCTTCCCCATGCGCCATGAGCAAAGGGTGGGCGGCCGCCTTCTCTGCCACCGATGCATCCCCCACTGCTGCACTGCCTCCGGGCTTCAGACTGCTTGCCGAGAGGAAAAAGGGGGGGGGGAAGAGGAGGCGGAGCAGTTTGGCTGAGGAGTTTGAACTTTGAAGTTGGTGGCAGTAGCAGAGCAGTACCATTAGCAGCCTGACCCCAGAGCTTCCTCCTTGCAAAGAAGGCACAGAAGAAGGATGGGGAACAGACCAAGCCCATCCCATCCTCTCCCCAGTCCCACTTTCCCCAGCCCTGCACTTGAGCAGCCGTATTTCACCCTCTCCAAATTCCACCGGATTTCACCTCTCTGTACCTTCCCAGAGGATTCTTAGACTGCTCTGTACTTCTCCACGCCACTCAATATTCCCAACTACATAACCACCTGCACTTGACCAACCATGTGCTCAAGGCAACCAGGGCATGAATGTGGCTAGCACAACGCCCAAATCGTCCACCCTTCCCAAGCCACCTCGCCCCAGATGCAGGCGGCAGCCTCTCCCATATCCCAGCTTCCCCACACCCCACCTTTCCCCGTACCCCACCCACCTGCACTTGGGCAACCATCCGCTGAAAGCAACAGAGGCATGGAGCGGCACAGCGGAGGCATCGGAACCATCCTCAAACTTTCCCAGAACCTTCCGAGACATGAGGTAGAGGGAGAGAGCGCCCCCCTGGCTGAACCCTCCCACTGCAAACTTGACATCTGGTGAGTCCGGGAGGGCAGGGAAGGAAGGGTTTCAAGGGGTGGAAATCCCATATATACATACATATACATACATATACATACATATAAATACATATACACACAGACACACACACACACACACACACACACACACACACACACACACACACACATACATACATGCATATATGTATATGTGTACATATATATACATATAACCAGCCAGGATTGACCCTAATCATAATCACACATAAATACATTTACCAAAACCTAGTCACACATATGAATATATATACCAAATCCTAATCACACAACTTGCAGCCACATCAATGCCCTAGACACCTAATTCTTTACGCTGTCAAACAATCACCACACTGCGCTGCACCCACCCGGATTGGCTCGCTTCTCCTCCTCTAGAATCCCAGCCACGTATCTCGCAGCAGCATCGATGCCCTTCACGTCGTCCCGTGCATTAGCATCCAGCCCAAACAGGTCAAACCCTGGTGGGAGGAGCCGTGGTGTGGTGTGACACAGGAGGGGAGATGAGGCGAGACAAATTCTGAGACATTTCAAAACAAATTCATTTGTGTGATGTCTCAGATTAGAAATACTTTCATGATGCCCTTCACGTCGTCACGTGCATTCGCGTCCAGGCCAAACAGGTCGAACCATGGTGGGAGGAGCGTGGTGTGGTGAGACACACGAGGGAAGACGAGGCCAGACGCAGTGGGATGAAGTGAGATGAGGGAAGATGAAGCAAGGCGGGGGGAGTTGACGCGAGATGAGGTGAGATGATAAAACATAAGGTAAGCCATGCTTCATCTCACTGTGTCTGGCGTGAGCCAGTGCTCACACATGACATGCCATGCCTTGCCTTCACTTATGCATGAGGGGCCATATTCACATGAGAAGCCATATACCCACATCAGCGGCATCACTTGTGAGTACTCACATGAGGGACCATACTCAGATGAGAAGCCGTACACTCACATGAGGGGCATGGTAAGGTGAATACTCACATGAGGGGCATGGAAGGTGAATACTCACATGAGGGGCATGGAAGGTGAATGAATACTCACATGATGGGCATGGCATGCCGCCATTGATCGTGACAGAGGCGACGGGGGCGCTGGGGAGGATCCACTTGATCTGCATGCAATGCATGGGAGGGAGAGAGGGAGCAATGATACACCGGCAGAACCATATGCTGGTGAGCTCCTGAGGGAAAGGAAGGAGGGAGCGCAATCTGAAAAAACGTGTCACCAATTAGATACGGGCAGTGCCATATGCTGCTGGTGAGCTCAATTGCAGCAGCAGGAGCAGAAGAGGAAGCCTTACGGCGAGCCAAGGACATAAGCAAGAGGAGAGCTCAGAAGCAAGAGCGCACATGCATGTGAAATATGCACGTCTGAAACATGTGCATGCACATAATTGAGAGACATGCGCATACATGTGATGTGAGGTTGACTGTCGTGCAGAGATCAGACCAGACCAATCATAGCCGGTATCTCCCAGATCATAGTGCAGCCATACCATAGCTATACTGGGATGGGATCACCTTCATTAGTTCTCAAAAGTAATTTCACGGACATGTGGGAGGTTAACCGCCTCGCAGAGATCGGACCATCCATATCCGGTGTCCCCCAGCCCGTGCAGCCACATTGCAGCTCTAATGGACTCACTTTTCACATTCACGTACATGTGGGAGGTTGACTGTCTCGCAGAGATCGGACCATCCATAGCCAGTATCCCCCAGCCCGTGCAGCCACACCACAGTGGCAGCATGCTTCCCCGCCTTGGCTGGCAGCACTATGGTCTTCGCCGCTGGTGTGCCTGGGGAAAAGTGATGGGGAGGGAAGGGGAAGGGAGAGTGAAGGAGAAGAAGGGGCAGCGTTACGTCAAGACCGGACGTCGGGGAGTTGACGCACAATGGATTGCTTTGAAACTTTTCTGATCTTCGAGTGCTGGAGCACACGGAAATGGTGATGGCTATGCGGTAGACTAAGCGTGCGGAGAGGGAAGCTTCCTAGACTAATGTGTAATCGAGGGTAAGTGAGTGATGGAATGATGACAGAGCGCCGGAAAGAGCTTGCTTGCCGAATGGCAACAGGTCGTCTGAGGCAAGTGTTGAGGGTCCCTGGTTCGCAGAACAGTGCTTGTCGGAACTCGGACAACGGCCATCCCTCACGCTGCTGCTGCTGCTGCCATCGCTATTGGACGCCAAGACTCCTCCAACCGCGACCACGACACCCACGGCGAGAAACAGCGAAACGAACGCGAACGCTTTCGCGAGAGCAGGTTGTTTCGCGAACGCTTTCGCGAGACTCGCACGTGATCGGCCTGCGAGGGTACCTGACAGCGGGCTCATGGCGGCAGCAGCCTTGGCGACGAGTCGAGAAGAATGATAATGGTTCCTAGGAGGGGGGACAGTTGATACATGTGGAGAGAGGATTGCTTCGTAAGTAGTGAACGCGGAAGGAAGAACGGGGAAGAGGCATTGGAGACGAAGTGGCACACTGAGTCGACTCAAAGGTCACCTCATTTGACATTGGCGACAGAGTCTGGCCTCACATTACGGAAGTAAAACATAATATGCAACAGAACTGACAGCTGTGAAAAATTCGGAAGCGGACAGGACGGATCAAATCAGATTGCTCGGCAGGAGCACAGCAACGCCTCACAAAGTTGAATGCACGGCTAAGATGCATCTAAATCACTGACGGACAGGATCAATGGCCTTACTGATTAGAGGCTAGTACTGACACCTTCGGTTACCAACTCGCGAAGTACCTGAACAATGTCAACGATCCGGGAGCAGGAACGCGTTTATTCTCGGAACCCCGCGATTGGCGGGACGAAGGAAGCTGAGCACCTAGCAGATCAGATCCCAGGCAAGCTACGCTGGAAATCCCGCAAAGAGCGGCGGGAGCAACGCTAAGAAAACGCTTAGAGGAGCCGGAGAGCGTAGCGAGCGAGGAGGAGCAGGCAGCAGAGGTGGCTTTCGCGGAAATGGGGCTCCATGCAGCCATTCAACGGTTCCGGGAAGTGGATATTCACTAGAGACGGATGCCCTGTGGTCTGCTGCTGTTGGTGAAATCTAGGGGAGGGCAAACGCCACTTGTGGGATTCTTCACTCTTGTATGACAGCGAACAGATGCGCGGACTGACAAATGGAGAGGATGGATTCGACGATTCTGGTGTTTCCAAGGCAACGGCAGCAACTGCAGCGGAACTGACGTCATATCAGTGGAGGGGGGCGAAAACACTTCTGCGCAAGAGCACGCGCTGGAGGAGACACTACCCGCAAGGGCAGGCGGAATTGGAATCTGGGGGAATGGCACTTCATGTTGTCAGCAAAGTTGCGGGGGGGATCTGCGATGCGGTTGTTCTTGTGTGGGGAAGGGGGGGAAAACAAAAAAATGTACGGCGGAGAGGAGATGGTTCGTGTTTGTTCACTGTGGGTTGCGTCTGGCCAATCTCTGCTTGATTCGTTACAAGAACATCAAACCGCTCATCTGTACATAGTTTGAACCTACAGTGAACGAACCTAGAAAAACGATATATCCAGCTACACGTATGAGTTCACAAACTAGGAGCAATAGTTAACTCATCCCGAGCAAGAACAGCAACACCGGATTTCCAAGGTTGAAATGGCAAAGCCTCTACTTGGTGGAGAGCAGTCGCCCGCAAGTCAAAGTGCAGAGCGAGTGCAACTAGGATGGATCTCAAGAATTCGTCCTTTGTGGAGTAATATTGACGTAGTTTGGTGATGAAATGATCATGAGAGCGCCCCTGCAAAGGAGAGATTGGAAGAGAACAGAAGTGGTTGTAGGCCAATATGCATATATATATATATATATATATATACATATATATACGTATATATATACATATATATTGCTACAAGCCATGAAGGGCCACGATAAGCATGTACCGTAAGCCCCCGGATAGAAGCGCCCCTGGGGGTATAAAAAAACACTGTTTTTTAGGGGGTGCACTTATAATCGAGGAATTTTATAAGCGCCGGCGTTTAAAAAATGGCAAAAATATTTTGTCTATCTGTTTTACACCAAACTTCTGCCGATTGTAATCGAGTCGATAACATATGGGGTCGCGAATCTGATTCTCGCGCAGCTTGGCAGGGAGTGATTCCCTGCCAACTCAAACTGACAGAATGACAGCACATGCTGACTAGACGCGCAAAAGGTGAGATCAGAGTGTGGGAAATCGAGTTTATAGTTCGTTTCCCTGATAATGTGAATTTTGTTTCTGTATTTCGTCAAGTTTTCAAATGAGAAAACAACATGCGCTTATAATAAATCATCTTTTTTTATGGGGTGGGCTTATAATCGAGGACCGGATATAAGCGCCGTCATCCTTTTATAAGCGCCGGCGCTTATCTGAGGCCTGCGCTTCTATCCGGGGGCTTACGGTAATGGCTAGATGAATCGAGTGCATCCTTCACGAGACAGTCACATGACATACAACACATGCCTCAACTCACCAAACTCTCTCGGTCGATGCACTATTGGCTGCACAGAAAAGCAGTCAAACTGAGATCCCATTCATACCCCATATTGAACACGATATGCCACACACTCACCTGTCTGTACTCAGGAGCACGCGAGGGCTGCTGCAGCAGCGCCATGCGGTGCGAGCAGAAGTCCCAGAGGAAGGACGTGTGGTGTAGAAAGCTGCTGCCTGTGATGCTCTGCGCGTTGCCGCCCACCTTGAGATCTCCCACCACGTAGTCTGATGACATGGTGAAGTGTTGTGTAGGGAATTGGGGTTGGGAGACGGGCCATGGCAAATGTTTGTCTTTTTGTGCCTGTGCTGCTGTGCTTGATTCACAAATATTACTCAGAGCAAGACCCTATGGTGAATCATTCTATCTCCTCAATTTCTCAGACATAGCTTGTGCTCCATGAGTATTCACGGCTATTTGCAGTTCATAATCCCAGTGCATTCTATCCAATTGCTCACCGTTGTCTCTGAGAGCAAAGCCCGGAACATTCGTCATCTCTGGTTGCAGCAGCCCCTCCGTCCACTCCATTATGTCACATGCGTTTCTCGAGACTTGCAAGAAAACGTGCATGTTGTTTTGGAATTCCTCAGACAACTTTTAAGGCGCCTCAAAAGGGGAATTCCTAAAAAAACGCCTCTCACCATTGTCTCTGAGAGCAAAGCCCGGAACATTCGTCATGGCGGGTTGCAGCAGCCCCTCCGACCACTCCATTATGGGCCTCGGATACAGCGGCAGGTTCGGCACCGCGCCGCGCCGGCAGATCAGGCTCGTCAGTACTGAGCCTCCGTCCAGCACCACCGTACCTCCGCCACTGAACCGGCGGACCACCGGCACCCGAGCCTCGAGGACAGCCTCGGTGTGAAGCAGTTCGTGCGGCTTGCTGGTGTGGGGGAGGAGCGGGAATATGTAGGGGGGAGGCAAGGGTGAATGGGGATAAAGGGGGAGGAGGAGGAGGTTGTGGATGAAACAAGCAATCAAGGGTGCTTTCCAGGTGTAGTGGTGGCGAGAAATGAGGGTAATGAGGCGAAGGGAAAACGGGAAGACACCGTGAAAAGAGAACAGGAGAGAACAAGGGAAGGCGTTGAGAAAGGGGAGAGGGATGGCTCACCCTGAAATCCCCATCACGATGGTCGGTGCTGCCACGTCAGCATTGAAGACGAACCAGTTGCTGTTGGTTGGGTCGCTTCTGAGAAGCTTCTCCTCCAGCCGCAGCTGCGCCTCCACGTCCATCCCGTCCGCGCGCACCACGCGCACCACCGCGCGCGCGCCGCCTCCCCCCGCCGCGCGCACGCTGATTCCCCCTACCGCCCGCGCATTGTTCCTCCCTGATCGCGCGCTGTTGTCCGCTGCCGCTTCGCCGCCTCCCCCTACCGCTTGCGCACCACTTTCCCCACCTTGCGCCGCGCTTCCCCCTACTGGCGCTGCCATCACGGGGGACGAAGGTGAAGCTAACGATGCTGGCGACATTGGCGATGTTGGCGACATTGGCGACATTGGCGATGTTGGCGACATTGGCGATGTTGGCGACATTGGCGACATTGGCGATGTTGGCGACGACACAAACGTGCGACGCCATGCAAAGGCTTCGGCAACGAGTGCAGAGACGACAGGCGTGCGATCGACGGTGGAGATCTTCCCCACCCGCCGTGCTATGCGGGCAGCCATTCCGAAACGATCAATACGAGTGGTATCCTCAAAGTGTTTATGAAGTGTCGCAAGACTTCGCAGGACTTCGTTACACCTCGGAATGTCGCTCAGCGGGCATGGATCGTGGCGGCTAGAAAGAAAGAAGGGGCTTTGAGATGGAAAGACCGTTGAAGGAAACACCCATCAGCGCACCGCATCGCTCGCCAACGCGAGAGAGTTCTGAGCCCGTGAAATGAAGGACGGGATAAAAGGGCAGCAAAAGGCATGATGACAGTGGCAGAGAGCAAAAGGATCCCGCCAACCGGATTCGAACCAGTGACCTAAGGATTGCTTAACTACAGTCCTCCGCTCTACCAACTGAGCTATAGCAGGATGTCCGCTACTTACATTTATTTTTGTTTAATGTTTTTTTACACCTTGCCATTGCCACTGTCACCTCACGTGTTCCACTTGCCCGCCCTGCCATGTACGCATCAGACTGCGCGCTGCGGTCGCTGCTGTGTCGTCTCCCGTCAGCGGCAGTCAACAGCAGTCAACGACCATCGCACCCGTTGACTCCTCGCTCTCGTGAATCCAAGTCCAGAGACTCTCCTCTCCTTCTGGCGTTGACCAGCCGTCAAACAAGGTCAACGACAGTCAACAGCGGTCAAGGATCCGTGCATCCGCGCTCTTGGTCCCCCCTCTCCCACAGGTCAGCTGAAGTCAACGTTGTTCAACGCAAGCTCCCAGACCCGTTGAGTAGTCATTCTCGCAGATCCGCACCGATCCCTGTCGCAGCTGGTCGCACAAGCTGGCGACTGCATACAACTAGTGTCGCAGATGTTCGCACGAGCAGACGATCGCGTGCAATCCGTGTTACTGATTCCCGCGCAAGAAGCCATGTTCGCGCGGATGCTACTGGGGGGGGAAACGTACCCGCGGAGGCAGGGGGGGAAAGGTTGGGGGGAAGCACTCGCGGAAGCGCTCGCGGAGGGGGAGGAATTGAGGAGACGGCGGAAGAGTCGGGGGAGATTAGCCAGCGGAAGATGGAGATCGCGCGGGCGGCTTTGGCTGTGGTTTTAGTGCAGGGCGAAGGGTTTAGCGAAGACCAGGCGAAGGCTGTGGCGAGAAACGTAACGGGTTTCGCGAAGTTCGTTTTAGAGCGCGATGCTGACGAGCAGGGGGCGGCTGAGCTTGAAAAAAAACTAAGACGCTCAGGGCCTATACCAAGAAGCACACCTGAAATACCACCTAAAATACCACCTGAAAATACACCTGAAGGCACACCTGAGGGTGGAACAGAGGACAGACCGGAGGGCAGAGCAGATAATATTTCCTCCGTGGATCGTTCTTCACTATCAGAACAGCCAGCTGGCAACCCCGAACCGTCCTGCAGGGTTGAGGGTTTAGACGAGGAAGGGGAGAGGGAGTGGCAGGAGGAGGAGAAGGAGAAGGAGAAGGAGAAGGAGAGGGCGGGGGAGGGAGAGAGGCAGGAGGAGGAGAAGGAGGGGGAGGAGCTGTTCTTGAGGCTGGTGGATTTGTTGCGGAGGGGAAGGCCGATGGAAGGGGAGAGGCGAGGCGAGGGGGGTGATAACACGCAGCAGCAGCAGCAGCAGCAGCAGCAGCAGCAGCAGCAGCAGCAGCAGCAGCAGGGGGGAGAAAAGGCGCAGGTGCAAGCCGGGGAGGGAGGAGGGCGCGGGGAAGTAGCAGAGTGGGTGGTGGCGGCGGTGGTGGAGAGTGTGGGGGTGGCGTGGGGAAGAGCACGACAGGTGGCGCGAGTTTGCAGGGGGGTGCGAGCCAGGAGCGTGTGGAAGAAGCTTTCGCTTCTCAGCAGCCTTTTGAATGCTGCCCCTGTAAAGACCACCCAAGCTAGCAGTCTTAGCGAAAGTTCCCCTTCTGCAACCCACAGCAATCCCACCAGCGGCACTCCCACCAGCAACACTCCCACCAGCAACCGCAACCTTGTAACTAGCACCAGTAGCACCAACCCGGTAATTAGCACCAGCAGCACCACCCCTGCCACTGCCACAACAGCCAGCAACGGCAGGAGTGGCAGAAGTGGTAGGAGCGAGGGGCGAGGGGATTCCCTGTGGGAGGCTGCTGGTGCTGGTAGTGCTGGTGGGGGTGACGAAAGAAGGGAAGCGGAAGGAGGGGAGGAGGAGAGAGGTGAGAGGGGAGGGAGAGAAGAGGAGGATAGAGAGCATGGTAGAAGGGGAAAGGGGGGAGGGAGAGGGGTCGGAGTCGCTCCTGTTGGGCCGTTGATTCAGCGGGCGATCGGACGGCTGGCAGTGATTGCGAGGGATGACGATGTGCTGCTGCAGCAGTCACTGGGCTTCTTTCAAAAGGTGTGTGTGTTTTTCTTTCTTTCTTTCTTTCTTTCTTTCTCCTTGTTTTGGGTTTTGGTGTTTCTGTGTCCAAAAGGTTCAGGGCTCTGTGTTCAAGCGTTAAGGGTTTCTGGTTACTGATAACTCAGTTGCCTCCATCTGCCTACCTCTATCTTTGACTTTCTCCGTCCCTCCTCTCTTTCCCCTTCCAACAACTCACCTTTTCCCAGCCTTTCCATTTCCTTCTCTTTCTTCTCTTTCGCTCCAATCAATCCCACATCCCCCTCTCCTGATTCCGCCAGCTGGCAGCGCAGCGACGTGGCGTCATGTTATTGGACGACCCGAGCACTGCATTGCCGGCGCTCGTTGCCGGATTCCCGGATTTCCTGGCGTGGGAAGCGGAAGCGGAAACGGAAGCGGAAGTGGAAGCGGAAGCGGAAGCGGAAGCGGAAGCGGAAGCGGAAGCGGAAGCGGAAGCGGAAGCGGAAGCGGAAACGGACAGTTGTGATGATGTGGATGGAGAGGAGGTGGCGGATGAGGCAGAGGAGTCGAAGGAGGAAGGAGAACGTAGCAGCAGCAGCCGCAGCACCAGCTGCAGCACCGCCCGCATCAGCGCTAGCGCTAGCATTAGCACCAGCAGCCCCACCAGCAGCAGCAAGAGCGGCGAGCAGCAGGAGCAGCAGCAGGAGGAGCAGCTACCGCCAGTGCTGCGTTTCCTCGCCCTGCACTGGGGCGTCAACCGCCCCACTCTGCGCCGCCTCCTCCTCTGCCACCCCGCCCTCGCCCTCCACGTGCCCCCCCGCCCCTCCTCCCCTCGCCCTTCCTCCTCCCAACGCCTCTCTTTGTCCCGTGCTGCTGCCAGTCGGACAGGAAATAGCAGGAAAAGGGAGAGGGAGGAGAGGAACCGGGCAGCCGTTTTGGAAGTAGAATCAGAGTCATATGAAGGAGAATCAGAAGCGGAATTGTTAGAAGGAGAGATTGAGTTGGTGTCAGGCGTAGAGCTGGCATTACGTACAGAGTGGGAGGCTGAGATTGAGACGCAGATGCTGGCATGCAAGCGGCAACTCAAACAGGTTTGCTTCATCACCCTCCCCCTCCCCCCCCACCCCCCCCCCTCCTCTTTCACTGCTCTTGAATCCTGCCTCTCCTCCTCAATTATTTGTCCAGTGCCCTCTGTTTCATCCCCCTTTGCCAGTTCGCAAAAGCCCCATCCACCACCTCCCCTTCCAATCCCCCTCACCTTCACATCACAACTGGGAGATTCAGCACAGACTGGCGGTGCGGGATCTGCCTCTCATCATCAATCGCTTCCCCCCATCGCCCTCTACTTCTCCCCACTTTGCCTCTTCGCCCATACGCGTGCTCTCCACTGTTCTCCCTCCAATTCAAACCCCCCCACCGCCACCCACCCCTTCCCCCCCCCCACATGTTGCAGCTGGGAGTGCGAGTGCGGGATCTGCCTCTCATCATCAACCGCTTCCCTCCGGTGCTCTCCCCGTCGGTCTTCCTCAACGCATCAGTGGTCGCCGATGCCATCACCAATACTCTCAAGGTGCGACGCGGTGGGGAGGGGTGCCTGCCAGTGTACTGTCACTTGCAGGCTGCATTGTCTTGCCACTCATCATCAGCCGCTTCCCTCCAGTCCTCTCCCGGTCAGTCTTCCTGAACGCCGCTATCGTAGCCGATGCCATCACCGATACTCTCAAGGTGCGCTGTGCTGTGCTGACCTGCATGTGCTGTGCTGACCTGCATGTGCTGTGCTGACCTGCATGCGCTGTGCTGCCCTGCATGCGCTGTGCTGACCTGCATGTGCTGTGCTGACCTGCATGCGCTGTGCTGACCTGCATGTGCTGTGCTGACCTGCATGTGCTGTGCTGCCCTGCATGCGCTGTGCTGCCCTGCATGCGCTGTGCTGCCCGATGCTGCTGCACGCCTGTGCCACTAGTGCAGTGAAGACCTGCCCACCTCTTCCCCGCCAGCCTTCCTGAACGCCCCTATCGTAGCCGGCGCCATCACCAATACTCTCAAGGTGCGCTGCGCTGTGCTGCCCACTGCTGGCTGCCTGTGCTGCCACCAGGCGCCTGTGCTGACCCGGGCCTGTGCTGCTGCTGCGGGCACTAACCCAGGTTGCTCGGGAGTCAGAATGCTCCCTCACCCATTGGACATGACTTTTGAGGCACCTCAAAAGTCTGCATCCGCCCTCACCGTCCGAAATGCGACCTTTTTTTTTTGCAAATGAGCTTCTCAGACCCTCCCGCCCACCTTTCCCTTACCTCCTCAACCACCTTCTCACCACCACCTCCCCACTCCCTTTCCCCTACCTCCTCAATCCCCTCCCTCCTCCCCTTCTCCCCCTTCCCCAGGTGCCTATCAGCAAGGTGGACCCAATGCTCACGCGCTGCCCCGAGCTGCTCTCGGATTTCAGTGCTCGATACACCAACATCTTAATCCCCCCTTCCCCCCTCTTCCCTCCCCTCCCCCCCTTCCCCAGGTGCCTATCAGCAAGGTGGACCCAATGCTCACGCGCTGCCCCGAGCTGCTCTCGGATTTCAGTGCTCGATACACCAACATCTTAATCCCCCCTTCCCCCCTCTTCCCTCCCCTCCCCCCCTTCCCCAGGTGCCTATCAGCAAGGTCGACCCAATGCTCACGCGCTGCCCCGAGCTGCTCTCGGATTTCAGTGCTCGATACACCAACATCTTAATCCCCCCTTCCCCCCTCTTCCCTCCCCTCCCCCCCTTCCCCAGGTGCCTATCAGCAAGGTGGACCCAATGCTCACGCGCTGCCCCGAGCTGCTCTCGGATTTCAGTGCTCGATACACCAACATCTTAATCCCCCCTTCCCCCCTCTTCCCTCCCCTCCCCCCCTTCCCCAGGTGCCTATCAGCAAGGTGAACCCAATGCTCACGCGCTGCCCCGAGCTGCTCTCGCTCTCTCCAGCCAACAGCATCGCGCCAGCTGGCGCATTCCTACAGGCCGTAAGGCTGACGCGCGGGGAGATGGTGCGCGTGCTCACTGCCAGCCCGTCACTGCTGTGCCGGCCCAGGCACCAACTGGGGGAGGTGGGTCTGTCGAGATGGAAAGATAGTCAATTCCTGTGGAGTGTTCACTCTCACAGGTGCCTGTGCTAGAGATGGGCGACTGTGATGGGCGACTGTGATGGGCGACTGTGATGGGCGACTGTGATGGGCGACTGTGATGGGCGACTGTGATGGGCGACTGTGATTGGCGACTGTGATGGGCGACTGTTTACTACTAGCCCCTCTGCACTGCCAGCCCCTCGCACCAACTGGGGGAGGTGGGTCTGTCGAGATGGAATGTGGGAGGGAGACGTGTCACTAGAGAAAAGAACCCCAGCCTCTCTGCTCGTTTCCCCCCTCGAGCTACCTCACCTCGTCTTGCGCTGCCCTGGCCTGCTCTGCCTGTCCTTCCCTTGTGACTGCTCTCCTCTCCTCTCCTCTGCTCTTTTTTTCTCCCTTCCCCTCGCCTCTTCTTTCTCCTTGTAGTTCCTAGACTGGCTACAAGAGCTACTATCCATCCCTTCCAACTCAAAACGAGATGTCTCAAAACTCAAAACGAGACGTCTCAAAACTCAAAACGAGACGTCTTAAAACTCAAAACGAGACGTCTCAAAACAAGAGCTACTAACCATCCCTTCCCACGAGATGGCTCACCTTGTGTTCCGCTGCCCCGGTCTGCTCTGCCTCTCTTGACCCCTTACATAGCTCCTTCCTGCGTTTCCTTGTTTGCTTGCCCTCACCCCCCCTCCCCCCACTTTCAGTCCCTAGACTGGCTGCAAGAGAACCTCTCCATTCCGTCCCACGAGCTGGCTCACCTCGTGTTACGCTGCCCCAGCTTGCTCTGCCTCTCACCTGCGGTGCTGCAAGGCAAGGCGGCGTTCCTCACGGGGGAGGTGGGCGTGGCGGCAGCAGAGGAGGTGGCGCGTGTGGTGTGCCGCTTCCCTGAGGTGCTCACCATGAGTGTCACAAGCATGAGAAACAGGTGAGGTCAATCAAACCAGAATTGTGTGTGAGTGTGTGGGTGTGATTGTGGGTGTCTGTGTGGTGTGCCGCTTCCCTGAAGTTCTCACCATGAGCGTCAATTCGATGAGAAACAGGTGAGTGTGATAGCTGAGACGGTGAGGGCAATCAACAAGGGAAAGTCAGCATACTACTCGCTGACGTGTGGGTTACTTCCCTATAGTTCCGAACGTAGGCCTATCCCTCCTCAGTCTCTCCGCCTTACCTCCTCTCGTTGTACCCCTCACATGTTGAGTCTTCCTCAACTCTCTTCCTTTCTCTATCTCCACTCTTCTCTGTCCGTCCAACCCCCCTTCTCCACGTGTCAGGATCTCCTACCTTTACTCCCGAGGCTTCTCCCGTGCTGACGTGGCAGCCATGGTGGTTCGGTACCCACCGCTCCTGGGCTACAGCGTTGCGGCGGTGCTTCGGCCGAAGCTGGACTTCTGGCTTGAGGAGGAGGAAAAGTTGGTGGAGAAGAGCGATGAAAGCACCCGCACCAGCGTCACCAGCAGCACCAGCAGCACAAGCAGTACAAGCAGTGCCACGAGCAGCACAAGCAGCACAAGCAGTACAAGCAGTGCCACGAGCAGCAGCTACTACCTGCGCACGCGCTCTGACCTGGTGCTCTTTCCCAAGCTCTTCAGCTACTCCCTCGACTCCCGCATCCGCCGCCGCCTCCGCGTGCTGGCCAGTCGCGGCCCGCCACGTGGCAACACCAGCAGCAGCAGCAGCAGCAGCAGCAGCACCGCCACCACTGCCAGGCAGAGAAGCAGGGAGCAGAATCTGAGGCAAAGGGAGCTGGTGTATCTGCTGAGCTGTCCTGAGGAGAAATTTGCCGCCCAGGTGCTCGGACTCAACTTCATGCTTGTCCCCCTGCGCGCGCCTCCTCAGTCCCCTGCTGCCACTGCGGGTGCACCAGCAGGTGATGGTGGTGCTAGTGGTGGTGGCGGGGTTGGTTCTGTGAGCGGTGGTGGTGTTGCTGCTGCTGTGGGTGCAGCGCCAGGTAATGGCCGTGGTGGTGGTGGTGGTGATGGTGGTGGTGGTGGCAGTGGTGGTGGCAGTGGTGGTGGCAGTGGTGGTGGTGCTGCTGCTGCCTTGCCAGGTCCAACTAGTGCTGATCCAGCTGCAAGGCGTGTTCAAGGAACCGGAGCCCACCGTCCAGATTCACGTCTGAGGTTTCTTGCAGAAGCAGATGTTCTGGGAAGGGAAGCATCCTCTGGTAGAGCTTCCCTTGCCTCTGCTGCTGCCAGGTCAGCAGAACCCACTGCCAGGTCACGTGCGACTGGTGCCAGGTCAGCAGCCACTTGGGTATCAAGGAGAGGAGCAGATGCCATATACCCACCAGTATCACCAGGAGAGGAGCAGATGTCTGAGGAAGGGCAAAACGTTTCGGCTAGAAGAGCTGAATATTCACCTGATGCCAGCCGTGGTTCACCGGATGGTAAGGTGGTATCGTCTGTTCCTACGACTAGAAAAATGCCTGAAGCAGCGTCTCGGAACATGGGACTGGATGGTAGGTCGGAGGGAATTTTGGATAGGAAGGGAAGGAGGGACGGAAATGGGGGTAAGGGAGATACATTAGGGTCGAAAGGGGAAGATGAGTGGAAGAATCTTGAGAAGCTCATAGCAAAAGAGGACCATGAAGAGTTTGGGATTAGGGGAGGCAGGAAAGGGAGAAAGGGGAAGAGAAGGTAAAACAGTCTTGTGGCAACAGTTGATGTGTCAATTGAGAAAGCTTGCTTTCTTGTCCTTATAATTTGGCATCGTTCTCATTGCAACTGGGGCCTCTGAGACATGGGCAGTGGTGGCTTCCGGTTGCATAAGAGTGCCTCTGCGTGCTGTTCTGGGGGCAGTGCGTGTGTCGGGTCCTGTAGGTCGCGGGATGCCTTGATAAGATGTCCGACGTGTGGTGTGACGTACATCTCTTTGGCTGTGTCACTTCGCCACCTGCCCATCCTTTTGAAGATCCTGTCCGGCACGCCGATGTTGGCTGCTACGGTTGCCGCGCCCTTTCGGAAGGAGTGCGTGCCGAGCTGCTGCTCCCCAAGTCCAACCTTTGCGAATGCTTCTTTACACCAGTTCCGGATCGTTGTGTACGAGGGTGGCTTGGCCTGACCCTTGTTGGCTGAAGCGTGACCAAAAACGCGAATCAGCGACCCCTCTGAATGCGGGCCATAGCCAGCGAGTTGAAGGAAGCGTTGGGTGCAGCGCACGGGGCAACAGGGGTCCGTCGTTGCTGCGATGGGAATCCAAGTTCCACGACCGGCCTGGTCCGTTTTTGAGTGTGGGATGAGGATCCACATGACTTCGTCGTCGAGTTGGATGTCTTGCCACTGGATGGCCACCAGGTCGGAGTATCGCAAAAATCCGGAGTACATGAGGATAGGGATCAACCCCTTCTGAAATTCAGCAGGATTGTCCGACTGCAAGTAGTTCGCGGACATGTCCCGAACTTGTTGGATTGATACAGGCTCCTTCATTCGACTAGGGCGAGGGCAGTGTCGTTTCGCGTAGTCCCGCATTTGAGTGGTAAACGGTCCGACAGTCGGGCATTTGCTTCCAGTCATGCGATGGGCGAAGCTGAGTGCCGAGCACGTGAGCTGCACTACAGACAAGGTTGCTCTTCGTTGGATTGCATGTACCAAGTATAGCGCGAGGGCCATGTCGGATGCGGGAAGAAATGGGATATCCACCTTTGTGCAGAAAGCCCGAAACTTGGCCCAGTACGGTTCGTATGTACGGATCGTTGAATTTGCTCGCGATTGTGTGAGCATGTTGATGAGTTGGTTGTGTAGCTTTGGGAGCAGATCTGGACACAAGGCGCGTACACTCTCAATTAGTCAAAAACCACCCAAAGTGCAATTATTGGGCAGTGTGGTAATCCAGTGCCTGAAAAAGCAACGGAATGTGTTCCAGCTGCCAGACATTGGCTGCCGTGTGTCAAAGGAATGTGCGCGTGGATGTACGGTGCCCAGTTGCGTGGGGAAGGTTGTAGGAGTGGCCACCAGTTTGCACCCGGCCAGTGTGGGATGATCAGTGTGAGCGACGCATGGGTGCGCTGTGCGTGATGGAGGACGGCCGGTACTAAATGGGGCGGGGGGAAAGCAAAGCTATTTTCTGATGTCCATGCGAGCGAGAATGCATCTACTGCGGTGGCTTGTGGATGAGGAATTTCCGTGCAGAAGCGTGGCAGCTGAGAGTTGCGGGAGTTTGCAAAGAGGTCGATGGAATGGGGACCCCAACGTCGTTCTAAGATGTGGAACCACGGCGTCTTCAACGAGTAGTCGTCATGATCGACTGCTTTTGAGAGCTCATCGGCGTGTGAGTTTAGCTCGCGTGGGATCCATTCGATGATTAGACGCGTGCCGTGCTCCATGCATGTCCGAATGATGCCTTGGCAGGCCGTGGTAAGGTCGGGGCTGCGCGAGCCACCTTTGCGAAGGATGAAGAAGACGCCCTGATTGTCCACCCGCACAAGAACATGTTTGTGCGTGAACTTGCTGGAGTATGTTTGGTGTGCCCAAAGCACTCCTTCGATCTCCCTCCGTGTGCTGGACGTCGCTCGCAGCGGCTCTGGCATTGTTGCGCTAGCTTCTTCGAGGCCGCCAGGGAATGTGGTCAAAGTGGCGCCCCAACTGTGAGCGCTAGCATCCACATGGATTACAGCATCGTAGCTGTTTCGAACGTGAAACGGTGCACCGTTGAACCTATCAAACTCCTCGAGCCAGAAGTTTAGCTCCTCGGTCGCGGGTGGGGGGATGATCACGCTGCTTTTCCATGAAGGTGCGTCATTGATCACTTGTAGCATGGCGTGGCTGAAAGCACGAGCTGTTGCGCCCAGCGCGACGCCCATTGACGCGAGCATGCCTGTGATTCTGGCCACTTGGCGGACTGAGACGGGTCGACATGCCTTGCTTGCACTCAACAGGTTCCGAATGGTTGCATGTAGTGAGGCTCGTCGTTCGGGACCGATGGTAAAACGACCGGTGGCCGTGTCCAGCTCCACACCCAAGAATCGAAGGTGTTGCGATGGTGACAGCTGTGATTTCTTCGCATTTATCACCAAACCCGCTGCTTTAAGGTCCAGTATTACACGGTGGCAAGTGGCCTGCGCGTGGGCTTTTGACTGGCAGAGGAATAAGATGTCGTCCACGTATGGTACTACTCGAATGCCTTGCTCCCGCCAGCGACGGGCTAGCTGCTTGATGAGTTGCGTGAAGTCGAATGGGGCTGTCGCAAGACCGAACGGCAATGAACGAAATGAGTAAGTGCGCCCATCGAATCCAAAACCGAGAAACTTCCAGCATGAGGGATGGATGTCGATGTGATGGTACCCGGATTTGAGATCAATAGAAAACATCCAATCCCCAGCGCGTGCCACGTCTGCCACGCGGCTGAGTCCTTCGTACTTGAATTTTGGAACGATGAGGTTTGCGTTGACTTTTCTCAGGTCGAGGATGAGCCTGTATTTTTCTCTTTGCTCGACCACGTTAAGTGGGCTTATGCACGTAAGCTCGCTTGCGGCTGTCTTGACTGCAGCTCCAGTCTCTGTGAGTTCTTGGATGGCAGTACGTGTGAACGTAGCATGCGCGTATGCACCAGCGTGGTTACGCTCCCGGAAGGCCTGTGGTGGACCGTGGCTCCATGGAAGCCAGTAACCGTTGGCGATTATGGATAGGACGAGGCTGCAAGGGCACCATGAGCTCCACCACGCAAAGGTCGAGCGAAGCCGACCGCACATCCGTGTGACGGTTTTGTCCGTGACGGCGAATTCGTATGGGCCATCGGCGCAAGGCACCTCGTATTGTTGTGCTCCTGTATGTACGACAAGGAAATGCACAGGACCAATCAAGTTACACGACTTAATTAGTGAATGCGTGTGACATATACATGCAGCATTATGTCTTTTTTTAAATAGAAGGATTGTGACAGACTTCAAACGTGCGTCCCACCGATCCTCCTCTTGTAGGTTTACATAACCATCAGCACAATTAGTCAAGTATACACTTGCTAGGTTCACATTAAATTGTGTGTGAGACTTTACTTGTACATTGGTGAATATGACTTAACTCACATTCCACCCTGTAAATCAGATAGGCTGGTTTCGTTCGTAACATGATACGCTGGATATTCTATTTCACGCACAAAAAGAGAGCTTACAGCCCCTAAACTCATCGGTAGCAAGAGCCCAGAACACAAGGTGTCTCATCCCGGATATAGCGCACCTGTAATAAATCACGAATCAACCTGAGAAGCTGGGGATGGATAGGAAGAGAGAGTGACAGAATGGGCAAAAGCCAGAGAAGTACCGTAGGCGGAAAAGGGCAATGGCCACCAGTGTTTGTCCACTGTAGGAGCCAAGATGGTGTTGACACTTAACGTTATGTACATTCTAAAAGTCAAGCCTAGTGTGACAAGCATGACAATAATATGTGAGCATCTAGTGAGCATACAACAACATGGCCCAGCTTGCCTAGTGTGTCATCATGATTGAAAAGTCATGGTTGGTGGGCATTTATACAACAAGATGTGGGAAGGGAAGTGTTATTTCGTGTTTGCCATGCATCGGGATTTCTCGAACTCCATAACAACCACATACAGAAGCCTCTTGTCGCGAAGACATGTGTATTTGTCCTGTGATGTTTGGGTAATCCTAGTTCTACAAACCTGGAGCTAACAATGGTTTGAATTACAACACGCCATTAGCTTAGACAGCATCTCACGATCTACACTGTACCCATGCAAATGTGCCAACCTGTCCTACCCCTCCAAGTCATCTTGCTTTTCATGATATCTCATTGCACAACAGCGCTATCTCATAACAACCTCTACTCATACAATTGCACGGCTGGCGGTACACCAAACGTCATGCTCTAATCTTGCCACCGTTACCTCGAGAGCACCGAGCTGTAGATGGTACCTGGTGAGGGGTCAAGGGGTGTGAGAGGGAGGGGAGGGAGGTCATACGGCAATGGGAGAGAGCAAGGAGGATGAGGCTCGGTCGGGAGACAGGAAATAGAACAGGGGAGGGAGGGCAGGCACAGACAGTAGTATGAAGCACAGTTGGGACAAAGGAGGGTGGAGCATGTATCAGAAAGTGGCTGGACTTAAAAAGAATGGGCAGTGGTCACAGCAAGGAGCATGGAGCCCAGGCAGGGAAAAAGTGAGATATATCGTGGAACAGATTAGTATACTAGATGCGGTTTGCCGGTATCGCCTAGGCTCCCCCCTCTCTCGTACCATCCCTCTCGTCCATCCCTCCCGCCCATCCCTCTCGCCCATCCCCTCAACCATCTCTGTGAACCATCCCCCAACCAACCTCAAGCTTGCCTGGCAACCTATGCCTCACCCAGAGTGACGATTCCCTGGGTGCGCGGGTGTAGCTGCCCAAAGCCCTTGAGCTCCCTTCACTTCCCACCCACCTCGTGTTTAGTACTCCGTAGGCTCCTTCATCCAACTCCTCCCCAAACATCCTACTTAACCTGTACCCAGGGGAGTGACGATCCCCTGGGTGCGCGGGTGCAGCTGCCCAAGGCACGTTTGCAAGAGAGCAGGGGGAATGCTCACCGAGTAGGGCTTGAGGAGGTCAGCAGCAACGTATGTGGGCACGGTGAGCAGCAGGCAGTGTGCAGAGAGCTGCTTGGCGCCCTCGGGAGTGTCGTAGGACAGCAGGGAGCCGCTGCCACCTGGCCGCTTCTCTTGGCTGTCAGCTTCCACCCGAGCCTCACTCAGTCGTCGAGCCTGGAGGGCAGGTTCGGAAAGGGTAAGTCGGTGGAACGAAATGTGATGTGGGAATTATGTGATCATGTGTTCTTTATAAAACGATTTCGAGTGGTGTGGTGTGGTGTGGTGTGGTGTGGTGTGGTGTGGTGTGGTGTGGTGTGGCATAGCATGGCATGGCATGACATGTCACAGTGGAAACCTATTATATTATGTGATGGAGGATCATGGCACCACGTCGCATAGCAATGCAAGCCATGCCATGGCATGGCATGGGATGGACACCTACAATAGGAGAGGTTAAGAGGGATTTGGCAGAATGGGAAAAGAATGCAAGGTAGAGAATGGCTAAGCATCTGACGGGAAATTAACGCATAAGCACAGAGATTGAGGGGGGATAGGAGGGGACGTTGTGCATTTGGGATCGATAAAGAGGGAATCACAGGAGATAGGAGAGAAAAAGAGGGGGAGAGGGGGTAGGGTTAGGGATTAGAGATGAAGTGAAGGGACAAGAATTTTTATTCGCAATGTTTAAGGTCGGACAAAACTGCATGTGAGGGAAAGATACAGCGTGATAGTAAATGAGAGGGCATCAACCCACCGCTGGGATGAATGGTAGGACATGGGATCAGAATGAGAGGGGATGAGAGAGGAAGATAGGGGAGGGGACAAAACCCGACGGGATAACAAGTCTGTAAAGGGAATGACTAAACCCGGAATTCGAGGGCCGGATAGTGGACGAGAGAGGATGAGAGGGAAGAGTAGGGCGAGAGAAATAACGAGAGGGAATGTGGGGGGCTGAATACAAGCGTGCTTCCTCCATCATCCCCCACTCTTTCCCCCTCACTCAGCGGTCTGGCCGGGTGCTGGCCAGGTTCGGCCAGGCCTGGCATGTTAGGCCTGGCCCGGTTTGGCCAGGCCTGTTCATCCCCACAGAGCCTCGGGGTTTGGGGTTTGGGGGGAGGTGGGCAAGGTAGCCATCCCAGTGAATTCTGATCCCCGAGCTCATCCCGTGCCATCCCATACTGATAATTGCATGTGCATGGTCTGAAACATGCCCGTTCTATTCTGAAACATGCACGTGCATGGCCTGACCTGACATAAGGCAAGGGATTGCATGATCGGGGATGAGAGGGTAAAATACTCGGCCTGCGGTCTCTCATTCTGCACTGGGCGCATAGCTGGCCGCGAGAGAGACGCCTAAGGCAGGGAAGTTGAAGTGCAGTGAGTGAGTCCCTAAACCTGGATGAGGTTGGTGAGCGGTGAGCCCCCACGGGGGAGCAGTCACATGTTTCTGGAAGTCATCAAGGGCAGGGCAGTTCAAGCAAAGTGAAGTGAGGGAGTGGGCGCACCTTGACGATGTTGGTGAGTAGGTCGTATGGCTCAAAGCGGAATGGCTGTGAGGCGAAGAAGCCTGCAAACACCTGCCGTAGTACCGGTGGGGAGGGAGAGGGGGGAGAGAGAGGAGAGAGAGAGAGAGAGAGAGAGAGAGAGAGAGAGAGAGAGAGAGAGAGAGAGAGAGAGAGAGAGAGAGAGAGTGGCGGGGTTGAGTAATAGCAAGGAAAGGGTGAGCTCACCGCTGAGCGCATAGCGCTGGCCGCGAGAGAGGCGCAATGCGCCCAGCGGATTGCTCACCGCTGAGCGCATAGCGCTGGCCGCGAGAGAACAGCTATGCGCCAAGCGGCGCTGATTCCGCAGGGCGAATAGCGCTGGAGGGAGAGGCGCAATGCGCCCAGCGGTGAGCAATCCGCTGAGCGCATTGCTGGCCGCGAGAGAGGCGCAATGCGCCCAGCGGTGAGCGATCCGCTGAGCGCATTGCTGGCCGCGCGAGAGAGGCGCAATGCGCCCAGCGGTGAGCGATCCGCTGAGCGCATTGCTGGCCGCGAGAGAGGCGCAATGCGCCCAGCGGTGAGCGATCCGCTGAGCGCATTGCTGGCCGCGAGAGAGGCGCAATGCGCCCAGCGGTGAGCAATCCGCTGAGCGCATTGCTGGCCGCGAGAGAGGCGCAATGCGCCCAGCGGAATGCGCATAGCTTGGCGCATAGCGCTGGCCGCGAGTTGCGCGCTACGCGCCCAGCGGCGAGCATTCCGCTGGGCGCATAGCGCTGGCCGCGAGATGCGCGCTATGCGCCCAGCGGCGAGCATTCCGCTGGGCGCATAGCGCTGGCCGCGAGACAGGCGCTATGCGCCCAGCGGCGATCATTCAGAATTTCGAAGAATGGATAGATTCGAGTAGGTTCAGCATATAGGGAAGAGAAAGGGAGTGAGACGCACCTCTGATACGGATCAGCTGTAACTCGAGCTTCCGTGAATCTGATGGGGGGTAATAAGTCTGCTAAGAAGTCCTTACTAAGTTAGTGTCGAGAGTGCTAGGGCTAGAGCAGGATGACGGGGAGCAATCTGATGGAGTTTGCAGGTTGGGTTGATCTTAGTGTGCACGCGGTGTACAATACGCTTGGTTCTGGTTCGGTTGAGTGGCGTACGTGGTTCAGGTGGGTGCATCACAGCTCGTGGATTGGTTTGGCGCGAGCGGGAAACCGTCAAATCAGGGTCATGTCAGAGCTGATTTCATCAAAGTTACCATTCGCGTGATGGGCTGCTAGTGTATAGTTACCAAACGTGTTAAGCTAGTTACCAAACGCGTTAAGCGAGTTACCAAATACGTTAAGCGGGTTACCAAACGCGATGAAATCGTTATCGTACGTGTTACAGTGCCCCATGTAAGTTACCATTCACATATTTTCCCTTGTTTGTGTGAACCAGCTGAGGGGAATTTCTCCTACCCGCATAGTGTGATCTCACTTGTAGATAAAATATAACATTTTTTCCGTTTCACCTGTGAGGTCGACTGTATCGCGGACAAGCTCTGGTGTGCGGAACTTCGTTGCAGTGTGCGACATGTGTCGTACTCTCAGCTGTCGCGTTCTGTGTCGTGAGGGTTGTCGTCACTATCGTAAGCGTGTGGTGGTTCCTAGGTACTATTTGGTTGAGTGGACGCTAGCAGTCATAGGGTCTGATAAACTAATGGTAAACCCTAATTTACCCTGAAATAATGTCAGTGTACAGTAGCTCCTGCTGTATCAAGGGCCTGTAGGCACGAACTCCCATCGATAATACCGGCAGGAGCATGGATGGCCACGTGACACTCGATCCCCATTCCCATTGGTCCCTAGACGATCTTAACCGCGAGCTTGACTCAATTCAGCGACGCACAGGTCCAGTCCCTGCCAAGCCCCGCTCGCGAAATGCGGCGAAGGCCTCGCGTCGCCTCCAAACAGGATCAATAAGCACCGCCGTCGCCGCACCCGCCGCCTTTGGAGACGGCGCTTTTGGCGCTGTCCCCTGCTGGCCGGCAGACTCCGCGCGATCTGCGGCGCGATCCCCGGCGTGGATTACGGCCGGTTCAGGATCCGCAGGCAGCAGTTCCAGCAGCGATGAGGAGCGGGAGGAGACGGGACACGGCGGAGGGTTGGGGGGAAACTTCTATTCGCCTCCTAGTGCGCGCGCGGAAACGGGTAGCGCGGGGAAGGACAGGCGGAAAAGCTTGGGGAGCGGCGGAAAGAAGCCGCGGAAAGCGTCGTTCCACATCAGCCTTAGCAGCAGCGACTCTAGTGGCTCGGACGGGGAGGGGGAGGGGGGGAGTGGGGAACGGGTTGGCGGAGATGGGGGGAAGTGGAGGGGGAGTTTAGGCGGAAGGGGGAGTGCGCTAGACGCGGAGAGGCCAGTGGCGCGGCCTGTGAGGCGCGCGGAGGCGGAACTGGGGGAGGTGGAGCGGAAGGTTGCTGCTGAGGTGGAGGTGCGTGAAAGCTTCTGGATCTTAGGTAGGCGGAACTTGGGGGGAGGAGGGGGTGGAATTGGGGGAGGTGGAGCGGAAGGTCGCTGCTGAAGTGGAGGTGCGTACTTGGTCTTGGAGAGGCGTCGTGGGGTGGTGTTTTAGGTGCGATGCGACGTACCTTGTAACCCGTTCCTCTTTCCGCTTTCCACGAACTCCTCCCCCCACCCCCTCCACCCCCCTCTCCTTCACGTGTCTTGGCAGGAGGAGGTGAGGCAGCAGCGGGTGCGGCTGGAGGGGAGGCTGATGGCGGAGCGGGAGAAGGGGCGGGCAGCCGTAGCAGCGGTGGATGCTCAGTCTTGCTGTGTTTATATTCGAACCTCCTTCATCCCCCCTCTCCCTCCCCAACCACCTCTGATGCTCCCGTATACCCAACTCATCCCCTTCCACCCAGCTTCTCTTCCGCTCCCCCCTCCCCCATCCCCTCTCCCCCCTCTTCTTTCCCACCTACTCCCTAACCCCACACCGGTTTGGCAGGAGGAGGTGAGGCAGCGGCGGGTGCGGCTGGAAGGGAGGCTGATGGCGGAGAGGGAGAGGGGGTGGGCAGCTGTAGCAGAGGTGGAGGCACAGCGAGAGGCGGTGCAGGCCACACTAGCTCGGCTTGATAGGGAACACTGGCAGGCCGTGTGAGTGGGGGAGAGGGTGCGAGTGTGACTGATGAGAGAGAGTGTGACTGGTGAGAGAGTGTGACTGATGAGAGAGAGCGTGACTGATGAGAGAGAGTGACTGATAAGAGAGAATGGGCGTGTGAATGAGGCACAGCGAGAGACCGTGCAGGCCACACCTTCTCGGCCCGATAGGGAGCAATTGCAGGCCGTGTGAGTGGCTGTGACTGTGAGTGGGAATGGCTGGCTGGGGTAATTGGGAGTGGGGGCTAGTGATGGCGAGGGGAATGGGTGAGTGAATGAGGCGCAGCGAGGAGCCGGTGCAGACCACACTGACATGTGTTGATAGGGAGCAATGGCAGGCCGTGTGAGTGCGAGAGTAGGTGTGTTGAGAATCAAAAGCGGAGGCAACAGGTGCACTTCAGTTTTAATATTCTCTCTCATTGCATCTGTGTGTTCGTTGTGTGTGTGTGTGTGT